TGCTAAACTTCTCGCTTATCTATTCTAGAGGTAAATTTCAAAAGTCATTTGCAGTGTCTACACCTTCACTTAATAACAAACGATTAATCACTTTGGAGTATTACTCAACCTCTTCTCTTACAATTTATTGATTCTTGTTGTATTCTACTAATTCTTCTTTCCCTCTCCTCCCTTTCATTTTTTCCTAGGCTTATCATAAAGGACTATACTACACATTGCACAGAACTTTGATGATTGTACGCAGGTTTAGTAGTGTGTCTTTGACTTAACTAACTGAGATTGTTGTTGATAGGTGGTGTAACTGTCCCAGGCACCTTGCTAATGTCATCTTGCCGGATACTCGACTTTGATTTTAATTTTTTGATTTACAGCTTGATTCCACACTGTATTTTTGGTACAAGTATGGAATTTTCAGCATGGATATCGTAGCCCAAATTTTGCAGGTCGACCATAGATATCAGGTGTGTGTCGGCAGGGGATCGAACCCCGGACCATGTGCATGGTCGGCGAGAGTCCTAACCACTGTACCACCGACGCACTTCCTCCTTATTTGCAATTTTCTCCTTTCTATTCAAGTGAAATTTCATAGGAATTTACGCTGGTATGGCAAGATATAAAAATTCAACCATGCCGTATTCAGCACAGGTGGTATGTGAAGAGACAAATGTCAGGAAAAAGCTTTATAAACGCATTTCATAATCTATAATTAAACTGCAACTTATTATGAGAATTATTATTACGTATATTATTTTTCTAATAACTTCAATTGCTGCACTTTTATAGTTTATATGGAAGCAGTTTAAGGAAATCATTGTTGTAAACAACGATCAGTTGATGCTGATACTCTTAATAAGTTTTTCATAAATCGTCCAGTTGATTTTAAATGCTACAAATGCAAATAGTGACTTTTTCTCCAGTTTTAATACACAAACGATGTCCTCAAGTGTCTCAAATGGCTGAAACCTACCCAATTCCTCGTCCTGATGGTATACCTGCTATCATCCTGAATAAATGTGCAGACTTTTTATGTCTTCCTCTCACAGGTGTTTTGGATAAACTGTTTTCTACCAGCACAGTGCTACGTGCCTGTGCCTAAATTATCAAATGGACTAAATGATAAATTTAGACCTGTTGTCATTACTTCACCTTTTTTGTAAATAATGGACAAAAAACTGCTTTTACTTAGCCTTTAACCTTCATTGAAGGCTTTTAACGACCATGATCAATTAGCTCATAAACACTGGAGGTGCAATTTATGTGCTACCGTTTTCCCATATCATAAGACTGTCTCTGGTTTAGACTGAGGTGACAAATATGTTCGGTCTGCCTTCCCAGACTGCATATCTGCCTTTGAATTTAAATCTAGACCTCTTCTGTTGAACAAGCTTGGGGTAACACAAGCACAGTACTGGATCACCAAGTGGTTTCATTCCTATTTTTTCGACTGGAGACAGTATACTATTTACAATGGGAGGTCCTCAACCGCTTCCTTCATTTAGTCTAGCTGGTATTCCTGAGAGAGAAGTTCCTTATTATTCTCTGTTATTTCTCTTCTTGCATGACTCGTCCCATTGAAACGAAGCCAATTTTGTTAAGTATTCCATTATCTGACTATTTCTTTGCCAGCGGTTACTTCTCAATCAGACTGTTCCAAAATGAATAATGAATGAATCAGAGGACTAGACGGATCACACTAGTTACTAGTGTCAAATCAAAATATCTACTACAGTCCTACAGGAGGTCAATTGCGAGACAGCCCGAATAGCTCAGTGGTAACGTCTCTGACTGCAGGCGGCAATGAGTGATGCGGGTTCGAATCTCAGAAGGGACATGAGTTCCGTCAAGGTTGCAGATACGCCTTGCTGACGAGTGTCAAGTAGCACGAAACCTAGGTCCAAGGCTTCCTGTGGCCGATTGCCTCCAACATCTAATGAATAACTTTTTATTAGAAATCCATCAGTTATCCTTGTTAAGTGGTATTAAGCTTAATCCCACCAGATGTCAGGCGGTTAATTTCACTTTAAGACTCAGGTGCTACTTATGTGAACTGCTTAGTTCACATGGTTCCACTATCATAGACGGGACTGAAGCAGAAACTCAGTTCAATGTTAGATACCTTGGATTGCTTATTTTCTCTAGTCAACTTTCCTGGTATTCCCGTATCATGTTACTTTGTATAAAGAGATTTCGTTTGACATCCTACATAAGGTAGTTAAGACAATCTAGTATCACTTAGTCTCTATTGTTACACTTTGTTAATTCTTCTATTCTGCTTATCTTTCTTTACTGCTCCCCGCCACTTAATTTTTCGTAAACTATTTAAGAAAGACTTTGTTATACTATGAAATGCACTGAAAGCTGTCAGGAAATTACCAACAGCCACCTTACGTATCACATTCTCCTAAAGACAGTTAATCGCCCAGTCTAACGCTAAGGATACGATATCAATTTCCTTGCTGGTGTGGAAAAAGGTATATCGCCCATACGCAACGTCAAGTCCACAAATGTACTATGAACACTGTCCATTTTGGTTAATCAGAGGAGAAAAGAATAATATCGGCAGCTCTATCCTCGTACACCTTGTCATCTCTGGAAATCAAGCACCCCCATATGAATGCTTCGCAGTGCTACACAGAGTGCCTCAATATCGTACAAAGGGACTTCGCATACGCCATCTGTACATAGTTGAAGCATTAGCTATTCTAGATCTGAAATCGGATCCCTGCACTCATAAGCTATATATATATACATTCTCTAGCCCTACCATGGCAAGAGTAAAGATCTTACTATAATTTTGCTTCTTTCTTTTATTATATTAGTTCACTATTATTACTATTATTATTGTTATTACTACTATTATTTTATTATCATTATTGTTCCCATCATTCATATTTTATTACCACTCTATTACTGTTTTTCATACAGGTTTCATATAAAAACACTCTATCACCTTTCCACTAGTTCCTGTCTATTCTACACGAGCTTACTGATGGGTCATTACCTCACACTTATTACGTCATGCCAACTTCTGCCTCTTTTCTAACTTACAATTAGTCATCCCTTCTTACACCTTACATTATGTAATACAATTTTTTCAAGGACAAATTTACCAGTATCTGATTGGTCTATAGACTTCTTTGTTAAATATGATTACGATTGTACAGCAGATCACGAAAATGAATCGTCAAAAAGAAAATTTTCTTTGCTGTTTGTTCCTTTTTTTATAATAACCAACTTATTGCAGAATTCGAAGCAAAACGCCCCAAATGGTTTACTTCATTGTTACATTGTTGTTAATATTTTTACTTATTTAATATTCATTTACTTATTTGGAAAATATTATAGACGTAAATATCGTATTTAATTACTATCTCTGTTGATAAGAAGGTTAGATGCAATACTGTATTACCACATGCTGAAAGTTTCATACTCGTATCAAATGTACTGCTTGCAATAAAACTGTTATTATTATTTTACGTAATTTATTTTGTTTTTACTTATACTTATTTTATGATATTCCTAATTGTGGTGACTAAATTATGCGTCAGACAGTGGAAACGAGAAGACAGTGATATCTGGACCAACGTGAAGAACATAGAAGACCTCGATTTCGTGCGTGGATGATTTATGCTTGATTTCACACAAAATCGAAGACTTACAAACTGGTCGAAGAAGCAGCCAGCGAATACAGGACTCCAGGTGAACACAGACAAGACGGAGGTTATCAAAATAACCAGCCAAAAACAACATCAAGCGCGAATCACCATCAACGGGAGGAATTTGAAAGAGGTTACTTCATTCACTTGTCTACGGAGCATTTTCTCAACTACAGGCAATCGAACGGACGAGGATATCAACTCGAGAATCGGGAAGGCGAGAAAGGCATTCATCAATTTGAAATCAATCTGGAAATCTTCGTCACTCAACTCAGCATTAACAACAAAATTCGGATTTTCAATATAAACAGCGTCAAGTCAGTCAGCTCTTCTATACGGATCAGAAAGTTGGCGGGCGGGTCACAAAGAATATTTCCAACAGCCTGTTTCAGACCTTTATTAACAACTGTCTTCTCTCTATACTGAAGATCAGATGGCCGGGCCGGAAAGAATCACAAAGAAGAAACTATGGGAACAAACAAACAAAACAAGAACCAATCGCCCAACAAATATGCAGGAAAAAGTGGATTGAGATGGATTGTACACTCGCTGAGGAGGCCGCTGGGTGGCAGACCAAAAGGAAAGCGGCGATTGGGACGTCAGTGCAAGTGTGACATGGAGGAGATCGTGTGAAACAGTTTGTTGAGTTGAAACAGTATGGACTAACATGGATGTAGGTGAAAAGTAAGGGAAAAAACAGAAGCAAGTGGAGACGTGCATATGAAGCCCTATGTTCCACTAGGAACCCAAGGGAACAATAATAATAGTAAATATGGAAATCATTGAAACATGCGCAGTGCTCAAAACGCCATCCTGTATGATTATTATTGTTGTCTGGAGTAAAGTGACTATTATAATTATTAATTTTATACAGAAGGAAGTATATTTTCCAAGCACTTGACAGCTAATAGGAATAGAGTAAATTGTTGAAGATGGCTTAACAGAGAGCCATATATCCAAAATACATATATTAGTATGTCTTTCGTGTCATTTAACCTTATGTACTCAAGTGGACGGTACATTTATGTGTATTGACGTTCTGTGTTATTTTAATGCATATTCGTTCTTGACAGTAAGTGTATTCTAAGTTGTACTGAGAAATTCGTTACATATCTTACTAACGGCACATTAAATTTTAGATACCCTTGGTGAAATCGGTTATATGAACTCAGCCAGAATCGTTCTCAATCTTCAGCTGTAATTGTAAACTTTGTTACTAATGTCATATATACATTAATTAATTAATTTAAAACAAATGAATTTTATTAATTTCATCATCAAATAGAAAATTTTTTCGACTATTTACAATTTGAGTTATAAAATATTATGAAAAACGATACTTACTGTACTATCAAGGCCTAGAGTGATGAGCATTAGCATGAATATAATGGCCCAGAATGTTGAACCGGCTAGTGTTGCAATAGCTTCAGGATAGGCGATGAATACTAAACCAGGTCCTGTAATGTAAATCAATGAGAGATTAGAATGTATTGTAAATTAGAGCGACATATTTCATGGCTTACCACTTACATACTGACAGAATATGTGAATATGAGGTGAAAATTTGTTACACACATGAATTGGAATTTTAGCTTTCTGTCAAAAAGTCATCATTTTGAAATAAAGAATTTAGAGAAAATTCTTTTCTCTAAGATTTTACTCTCGTAGCTGTACCGTCGTATATATATATTACAGCAGACAGTATGCGACGCGGACTGAGATTTGGATGACATCCTGAAAGTATTCAGTGACATTCATCCAGCTATCCAATCCACGTCAGAAAAAGAAACTGAAGGGAAATAACTTTCCTTGATGTGCCACTCGCAAGGAGAACTGATGGGTATTTGGAAGGTCTATTTACAGAAAATCAATGTGGAGAGGACAACTGACCACTTTGTACAGTTTCGTCCTCAAATGCAAGAAAAGGAATCTAACCCGTTCTCTCTTGACATGGGCGCAGGAAATTTATAGTGAAGATAGCGTTGGTGGTGAACTCGAACAACTGATAGAAGCCTTCATAAGAAATGGGTGTCCAGTTTGCTTCAACGAGAACAATAGCAAATGAAGAGGACGAAATAAAGCAGTTGACAATGTAGCTAAAAATATTGTAGATAGTCTTAGAATTTACGGGTTGATACTGACAGTCTAACAAGATCACTGAGAGGAAGGTTATTTACTGCGACTTTATGAATAACCTACTCTAGACGCCTACTGGTGACCTTAACATCAAGGAAATGTCACTTAGATTGTATATTTATATGTTCACCTGTTCTTGTGGAGCTAGGTGCATAGGACGATCGTCGAGAAATATATCCAACAATGTGAGAAAGCACCTCCTAGTTTGGCTTAGCAAAAGAGAAAGTAGAGGTATTAATTCATCGTTATTGCGACATATTGTAGATACTGACCACGCAGAATCTGACACATCGTTCAATAGAGTCTACAAAGTCCGACAAAGTTTGCCGAAAGGGACATAAGTGCATTTGCTTTGTATAACGGCAGCTTTGGAAACAGATAATATAAACCTGGAACTTTGTGTACAAAAATAATTTGTACGATCTGTTCCGTTATCATGGTCTTGATTTTAACATGTAATTCACATAACAACTTTATTATCCTTATTAATTCCATAGTTCCACCTTTGTTTATTTTATTTCACATTTTATCTAGTCTATTGTTTTGACAACATTCCACTTATCCTACGCCTGCATCATATATTATATTCACATATTCACATTTCCAAATGTACTTTATTTTTTAATCACCTATTTCACACATGTCAACTGAACTTTAGGTTGACCTCCATTTATTTATTTATTTAGTTGTTCATTTCGGTATCTAATTAATTGTGACTCATAATCACATACATCAGTATTATCATAGATCAGTGTTTCCACTCACACACAGCGGGCAACAAGGAGACAGGCGTAAAATGGACTTACACAAAAAACTTGGGGATCTCAACTTCGCCGATGATACATATCTGATTTCCCAGAAAATAGAAGATATGGAAGTGAAAAGCTACAAGTTGGCAGAAGAAGCATCAAAGATAGAACTTCAAGTGAACATAGAGAAAACAGATGATGAAGATTCCTAGCTAACAGTGACAGCAACAACAGACAACAATCAACTTAAATGGGAGAATTTTGAACGAAACAATCTCCTTCACCTACGCAGGAACTATCGTTTCAAATATTGCAGGGACTGGAGAGGATGTCAAAGCGAAGCTTGGGAGAGCAAGGCAATCTTTCACTACTCTGAGGTCTGTGTGGGGACCAGCAGTACTCATTATGAATAATAAGATACGAATTTTCAACTCCAATGTGAAGTCAGTGCTACTTACCATACGGATCAGAGACTTGGTGCGTCATGAAGAGCACCTCAAACAAACTACAGACCTTCATCAATAGCTTTCTTCGCTCAGTACTCAAGATCACATGGGAAGCCAGAAAATATCGGCAACAGGAATCTCTGGGAGTGAACCAACCAGGAACCGATTGTCCAGGGAATATGCAGGAAAAAATAGAGACGGGTTAATTGGCCATACTCTGAGAAAACCATCAAATGAAATCACAAGTCAGGCCATTCGTCGAGTAGAACCCGAACGGGAAGCGCTAAGTTGGTCGTCATTGTGAGGGTGACATGGAGGACGTCATGTTAAGCGGATATGAAAGCACTTGGGTAGACATGGAGCCAGGTGAAAACGTTGTCAGAGAACGGAACGCAATGAAGACATGCCCTATGTTCTTCTAAGAACTAAAGGAGATAATAATAATGTAATAATCTACTAAATGCATATCAGCGTACTACAATGCCCTCAACTATTGTAAGGTCAGAAGAAATTGTGCTGTATAAAGACTCACATTGAACTGCTTCAGTTGTGTTTGCCTGTCCACTCTTTCGGGATACATACATATATATATATGTGCTTTTTAAACAACAATATTATTGTCTACTGATGTTTTATGAAATTTTAAATCTTTTTTTAATCAGACATTCCGGGAAAAATGTAAATTTTTTCTCCCCAAATTTCTCTCGTCTTCTTAAAACTAAAGTACACATTCCATACTCAGACAAATACTTTGGAAAATTTGTTACTCAAATCGTTCGTTGTTTCTTTTCCGGCTTAAAAACAAGTGTATATATATACACATATTTCATAATTCCCAATCCTTTTTTTTAAGCTGCATTTGACTAAAATTAGCCAATATTTTAATTTTAGTGTTTAATGTTTCGATTTTAGTGTTTGTTGAATAAAAATGTTTAAAAGGCAATGAGAAGAGCTATAGCTGGGCAGTGAAATCCATTACGTCATCATTATCAGTGAGTGGGTGAGTGAGTGAGTGAAATTTAATTCTGTCTACCGATATTTATTTGTTATTTTGTTGAATGGGTAATTTGACGCCTGATTATGCTATTGTCACAGATTTAGGTTTATATATATGTGATAATATGCATTTTATTTTCGTTACATTTTTATTTATAAGATATTAAAAAGAATGTTTTGTGACTTGTATTCAGAATAAAAAACCGTCGAATTCAAAAGTGACTATGGATGAATGCAATGTAAATAAACATTTGCTTGCTTTCAAGCAATAACGATTCACTAAGCTACTGACGTTTATGCCTCAGCGGCATGCCACTCACGCAGTACAACAAATAATGGTTAAAACTGCTACTCTCTTATAGAATGGTGGCCATACTGCAAAGCTGACTGATAGAATTCAGTCTGTATCAAGTAATAATTATTATTATTGTTTCCTTTAGTTCCTAGAGGAACATAGGGCTTCAGCCGCATTTCTCCATTGCGTTCCGTTCTCTGACAGCGTTTTCACCCGGCTCCATGTCTACCCAAGTGCTTTCATATCCCCTCAACATGACCTCCTCCGTGTCACCCTCACAATGACGACCAACTTAGCGCTTCCCGTTTGGGTTCTACTCGACCGATGGCCTGACTTGTGATTTCATTTGATGGTTTTCTCAGAATATGGCCGAATCACCCGTCTGTATTTTTTCCTGCATATTTGTTGCATACTTGGTTACTGATGAGTTGGTTCGTTCATCGCCAGAGATTCCTGTTGTTGATCTTTTCTGGCCGGTCATATGTTCTTGAGCGAAGTATTGAGCAAAGACAGCTGTTGATGAAGGTGTTTAGTTTGTTCGAAGTGCCCTTCATGACGCGCCAAGTCTCTTATTCGTATATAAGCACTGAGTTCACACTGGAGTTAAAAGTCCGGATCTTATATTTCTTGTTGATTGCTGTTGATATCCACACAGACTTAGGAGCAGTGAAAGCTTCCCTTGCTTTGCCGATCCTCGCTTCGATATCCTTGTCAGTTCTGTCCGGCTGTAGTTGAAACGATGCTTCCCAGACAGGTAGGTACAGCAGGTTTCTGTTTTCGAATTTATCTCATTTATGCTGACTGTTGTCAGTTGTTGCTGTTGTTGTCACTTTTGGCCAGGAATCTTCATCACCTACCTCTGTTTTATCTATGTTCACCTGGAGGCTTATTTTTGACGCTTGAGATGAGGCTTTTATGCATGACATTAGTTGCTACCTAATGTCCAGTCGAAGTATCCATTTTTGTCCTACGGAAGGTTATTTGCGAGTGAGATTGTTTCAGCGGTAACGTCTTTGACTGCACCATTGGATGACACGGGTTTGAATCTCAGAAAGGACATGAGTTCCTTCAAGGTTGACTGAATAGCTCCAACAAGCATAAAACGTAGCTGTAACCAAGGCTTCCTCAACGGATTACCTCCAACCATCTGGTGTCAACAAATCACAGTGTATCGTGATGGTGAGCCACCTAGAATGGTGGTCACATTGCAAACTTGTGTGGTACAGTTCATTCAGCACCAAATAAGGGACTAGATTTTTAATGCTAGTTACGTATCTTTTATTAATCAATGATACTGCACAGCTGTGTACTATATAGACTTGTAAACCTCTAGGCAGATTTTCTGTAGTTAACTATTTTATTACTATCGGAGCAAAATCGCCTACAACGAGGAGAAACTGTATGGTTGTAAACTAGTTAAAATCTGCTTCCCAGTCAACAATATTCATCAAGGAATGGACTTAAGTAATTCACCATTTCAGATACTGACAAAAACCTTTGGTCTAATAAAAGCGGAGATAGATAAAACGAGCTCCATTGATCTCTGGAAATTAATAATTTATCTTTTCCCAATGCTTTTGGTATATATCATTTATACAAAATCATTTTAAGACAACCGAGTAACCTTTATACAATTGGTGGATGGTGGCTAACAGTGGAATCCAGGATGCGCATTTCGTCCTAATTGGGACTCGTCATCTGGATGTACTTGCATTTCTCAGTGAGTGATGATGTTCCCACCGAGGCTCGAACCCAGTGCCCATAGTTTCAAACGCCAAAGCGTTATCCACTAGACCACTTGGGCCACGAGAGTCACCTCTTGTGCAACGGGTCATATATTAATTATTGAATTGAATTTTTGATTTTCCCATCCACCAATTGTATAAAAATCAAATCCCCAGACATCGTCGAAGCATCTGCACAAGAAGCCGACATGTCAACCTGAGACCGAGCACTTTGGTCCAATCAATCGACGGGAAAATCAAAAATTCAATTCAACGAGTAACCTTTACTTTTATTGGTAGAATAAGTCACAAATGTGAATAAAGCAGGATTTAGTGAATTCATCAAACTCTTCAACTGAATATCACTCAACGTACGGTTATAGAACTACTATAAGTCAAATATATATGCAGGTGTATGACTGGTAATTGAGAAGATTTGGGGTTCAAGTGGGTGATTTCAGTGAGGCTGTGTTCTCTGAGCTGGATCGTTTACTTGGGAAGCTTTCATTGTTTCACAAGACAACTTTTTCAGCGCAAATTTCAAAGCCACAGTGAATCAACTAAGTAAAACGAGTGCTGATTTGCACTGATTTGATCGGTTACAGGTTCCATCACTAGTTGATGTGAGTTACCCAGTGTTCTCTAACTGATGTCCGCTGATTACCAACCCTGTGTGCAGTTAACTCCCTGAGGACACGCACTGTATAATTAATACCAATGCTCATTAGTTACTGGCTCTACACACGAAGTTACCTAGAGTTCTAGTTAGAAGTTGTGACCACTGTTGTCTTCCGAGTCAGGTAAGGGAAGAAGTACTCGTCTATGGTATTGTCTTGCAGTTGTGCTATAGATGCCGTGAGTTGGAAGAAGTTAGATTTGATTGTTATTCAAACAGCTTGTATTGTAACCAGAAGGTGCTGCATTACAACCGGGGAGAATAAATACTTCTGAAGACGATACATCTGTCTGGATGTCTGTAGTCTTCCAGTGGTTGTCTAATTTGGGTCAGCTCATGATCAGTGTATATTCTGATAGTGTCTATAAGGCGCTTCAGCAAGACAAGATACGCCCCCCCCGCTGCCTATGGTCTCAGTCTTTTGTGAGGTGAAATGAAGAACAAACGGCACAGCAGAGGGGAATCCGTTTGTTATCAAGTAATATTTCGATGAAATTCCAACTGACTGTAATAGCTTTGGATGGAAATTTCTGACCACAAGGTTAATAATTTCATGATATACTTTTGTGTTGCATATAAGCTCAGTAATCTGACTATATCACATTCTCAATTTATAAATTGACTCTCAAGTTGCAGTTTTCAACACATTTCATTTTAAAAGTCTCGGTCGAGCATTCAAGAATGCAAGCATAAATGTATGATGTCTGGAACGAGTGAAATGACCGTCTGGTGTTTAGACCATTTCGTTTTACCTAGTAGCTGATGTGACTGGTATCCAACTACTCATACAAGACAGTCAGTAGTATATAGCTTCATAAATTTCATTGTGGCCGAAGAGCAGGGGATAATACTAGAAACTCATACCCTAGTGATATTGGATTCCTTTTTCACACCTCAAGAAAAGAGACAATTGCGTCTTAACATGACTGAACGAAGCCTTATAATATATATTATGATTCCAACGATGTTAAAAATATTACAAAGATGGCGGATACATAGAATCTTCACAAAAATTCTATAACACAGTAAAACAATGACTACCATTGCTTAATCTGAAAAAAAATGCACATTGTAATCAAATAATCAGGCGAATGAATATACAAGGTTACCTTCATTAGCAACATCTTCCATTGTTTTCCCCATACGGAAACACATGTATCCAAGAACAGAGAATACAACGAAACCTGAGACAAAACTTGTTGCACAATTTATGAAACTGGTAATCATTGCATCTCTATTTTACAATATTATGAAAAACAGTAAAACACAGGAAAGGTAGTTAAAGTAATACAGTATTTTACCGTGAAAATATGTTCTAGAAAGCATTTTCATCAAAATGTCATCATCAACATAAAGTCTAACCTGAAAGTACTGTTTTCCGTCACATTTAGATGTCTACAATAATACACTTTCCTTGGTGGTCTCAGAACTATAAGATGTACCTACAAGAGCTTATACAAACTATAATGCTGAAGGTTTTAAGCACTTTGGTAATTCATATTTACCCGTTTTTTGAGCAGATAAGTTGAGAAAAGTCGAATTTTGCGGTGAACACCATAACGGTTTACAGTTTTCAGTTTCTGTCTTTTCGTCGTATGAGAACGTTGACATTCAATGCCAACAGGCAGTTTATTTATTCTCATTGATGATGTAACATTTTATAGGGTAACTATCTTTCCAACACAAACATTTATATTTATAGTTTGACTATTTGACTCATTATACTTCACCGGTTTGAAGACTTGATGCGGCACTGTATAGAAATACTGATCATGTTAGTTAATCATGAATGTCAGACTTATTTTGGCGATTCGGTTTTCACCTGTAGTAACTGTAGTGCACTCATTTGCAACTAATTCGTTTCTTGTCATACACAGAGAGAGAGAGAGAGACGCCGATGAATGCCATGCTCTGAATAGTCTTAAATTATTGCGAGACAGACAGCCTAGTAAGCGTCTATTTTTCTGTTATTTAGTTACAAGTCTTTCCTATGATTTTGTCCTATACAGGTCTTTTTTAAGTTTCTATTGAAATGTTTAGCTCAAACATTGTCTAAGAGATGAATGACAGTGCATCAATGGCCACTTGTGGAAAGGTAAGCCACTAAACTAATTGGCCAGACTCTAGAGAACCTAGAACATGTCTACGTTTTCAGTGTAACCAGTAATTACAGTGTGCATTTTAAGGAGAATTATGCCCAACCAGGCTGACTAAATCGTTTGTGCGTCGGTAGCACAAAGGTAGAATACTCGCCTACCAAGCACATGATCTGGGGTTCGATCCGCAGCCACCGATGCATTACTTTACCTCGCTAAGTCAGTAATAAGACTTGCCAAGAGGCGAGGTTGGATATGCGGCTTACCAACTCCAACACCACTGCTACTGAAACTTCAAGCCTCCAGTTTGAAGCCCTATGTTCCCACTAGGGAACATAAAGGAATGAAAAAATGAGGACCATAGTGTCACGGGATTAAATCGCTTTTTAGTCTACTAGTTGTATGGAATAATACTAATAATAACACTTGTCAACCACTGAAAAATAGGAACAGGTCGGAAATGAAGGAGGTCAGTAGTCCGTTCACTAGATCTCCACAACTCTTCTGCAAAAGAGTCACTACTTATGACTAGTACTAACTATAATTTGTCAGTAAATATCTTTTGATATCTAATTTCTAATATTTTCTTTAAAATCTGTATTCATTATAATGTTTTAGTTGCGTTTGCTTAACCAGTAATGATAGGCAGCAGACATCTGTCATTTTAAAGTCAGGTGATTGTTGTACATTGCACAGTATTTACCTGAATTGGTTTCACTTCAGTAGAATGAAACTCTAATACACTTACTTAGTCAGTTTTGTCATCAATCAGTCAAATATCTTAATTTACTTAGGTGTTAATTATAGTAAAATGAAAGCAGTAGAAGAAATAGCAACTGTCATTACCTGTAACAGTTATTATGAAATTTATTATAACTGGATAAAGCAAGCAGAACACCGAATCCTGGACCAAGTGAAAAGAAGATTTGTGATGCAGCATCACTCCAGACCTAAGGGAATAAAATAAATAAGATTCATTTAGTTTTTTAACTCATGGAAAAATTCCCATTGTAACATATAGAAAATCAAAACAAGTGATTCAGCGGAGAGACTCTTTTCAACGAATTTATCATCAAGCTGTACAATAGTATACAAATATATGGTTTTTAAGAGAATATATCCGGTGTGTGATTTGAATCGTAGGTGTGAATGCATAAAATAATAATAATAATAATGGTATGAAATGCAATTAAAAAACTGAAATGTTTGTGAATATACTCATAGTTAAATGTCAAGTGGCAAAACAAATTAATGTCATATATAAAATAATTCATAGGATAGATAGAACTTGAAAAAGGGTGTGTGTGCAATTATAGAATTAGTAGACAAATCGAATAAAACAAAAACGTTACGTAATACTGTGTGAAATTTAATAGCATAGAATTTATCGTCGTAAAAAAGAAGAATTGATTTAGAATGACAAGTGGAACAAGTGAAATAATACCGGGGACAGTTCAAAGGGAGAATAGTAATAGTAACAATTGACGGAATAAGGAAGAGTATACAAATTGAATAGACAAAATGAAAAATTGTTAGAGGTAAAATATGATTGAGGATTACCATATTTTAGCATAGAGGGATTAAGACCATGAAAGTTGGAGCGGTTGAACGAACTTTTTCTGTACACAGAGATCTGGCTTTTCTGTTTCGATAGCCAAAGCTTCACCAATACACATGAGTCGGGTACGCAGTGATTTCGGTAAATTACTTTTTACCTTGTAGATGACTTTAAAGGCGGAGGCTATAGATATAGGGTGATCATTATCGACCAGATGTTCAATGATCGCGCTTCTTATTACTCCACTTCCATCTCTTCCTGACTACCACGCAGTATAGTGTTCTTGCACCCTCTTGGACAAAACTCAAGTCGAACGACCGATATACCTAGCTCCACAAGAGCAGGTGAATTGATAAACGCACATAAGTTGGTCAACAGCGGGATCTTGTCCTTCAGGTTATTGAACAGTAATGGTCGACTAATAAAGGCTATTCTCAGAGATGCAGCAGGGAATTTTCTTTCCAGGGACTATGATATCCTTCGTTCCATGATATCAAAAGCTAAGTCCCCTTTGAGTTCCAAACTCATGTAAAATATTTTCTTGGGAACGGTTGATAAGTCACATTTTGTAGGCTTTGAATGTATATTCTTATCTATAAAATGTGGTGGAAATCCATTTTCTATTTAGATTTTCCTCAAAATGTAAAACTCATCTTCTACAGTATCATGGCTACATATGCGCGGAATACGAGTGGCAAGCGACCGGACCAGGCTCCGTTTTCGACCAATGGGTACCCAGTTGTAGAAATTTGTCAGTTTACCATTCCATAACAGCTGACGATAAATCGATCTCTTCAGAGTTCCATCGGTCCTTCTTGATAAGTTCACATCAAGGAAGTGAATGCTAGACTCGTTCTCCATTTCAAATATGAATTTCATGGCAGGATGGCAATCATTAAATACATTTAATATATTATTCATTTATTTTTAACAGATTATCTGTGATAATACTACATCTAAGGTCATAATATTAAGAGAGGATACCCATTGAGTCACTAAAAAGATAGACAATTCAGTGAAGAAAATTCTCCTCATCAACCAAGGCTGTATGATCATATTTATATTTACCAAAAATGTATAGTGGTCTATTATTGAATAATAAGGGGTGACATAACTGATATGTTTACTCATAATTGGCTTTAGAAGTAAAAATAATAGTTGTGAATTACGTAGCACTCAATGGCGCAAAGGATGAAAGCCTTAGAAATTTGATAAGGTTGAAATTGCTCTTGAGTGAGTATTATTATTATTATTGCTCCCTTGGGTTCCTAGTGGAACATAGGGCTTCAACTGCACGTCTCCATTTTCTTCTGTCTTCTGCAATACTTTTTACCTGCATCCATGTTAATCCATCTTCTTTCAACTCCTCTTCACACGATCTCCTCCATGTCACCCTTGGACGTCCCACACGCCGCTTCCTTTTCGGGTTCCACTCGAGGGCTTGGCGCGCGATGTCACCCAGCGGTCTCCTCAGCGAGTGTCCGATCCATCTCCACTTTCTCCTGCATATTTGTTGGGCGATTGGTTCTTGCTTTGTTTGTTCCCATAATTCCTTGTTGGTGATTCTTTCCGGCCATCTGATTTTCAGTATTGAGCGAAGACAGTTGTTAATAAAGGTCTGCAGCCTCTTGAGTGAGTATATAAAGGTATTTGAGTGTCAATTTAACAATTGTGAAGAGGGTGAGCAAATGTACAAAAGAAGCACACAAGAGTGATAATAGTCAATTAAATAATAAATTAAAGTAAAATTAAAATTTGAAAAATTAAAAAGTCTACAAGGAACGAATAGTGAAGAGGTTAAGACCAAGGTAGATTTAGAGACTGAACAAATGTTTTCTGTCTACGGAGTTCTTAGGTGTATTGACTAATTGCCAACGTCTTCGCCATACGTAAATGCCAAAACATAACGCCCTTAGTACTATTTGGTCTCACCTTGTAGATAATCTTGAAAGACGACTCTAGTGAAGCTGTGTGGCTTGAGTTCACCAAGTGCTCGAGGACTGAGCTAGCAACTGTCCTCTGTCGTCTTTTTGCTAACTATACAGGATAATATTCAAAAATGCTTTTGGAAAGTGTATTCTCTGTACAGCCACTTTAATTAGCTGTCTTATCAAATTTCTAATACTCTCCTCCCTTGTACTGCTGAGAACTACTTGATATAGAACTTTCATTTTTGCTTTCAAAGCCACTTATGAGCAAATATGTCATTTATGCCCCCCCCGCTATTACTCAACAATAGACCACTATACACTTTCGGTGGATATAAATGCGATTGTACTGCCTGTGAAGAAGATAATGTCGATAAAGAAAATCTTCTTTCTTTGAATTGTCTGTTATTTTCTCCATGTTTCAGAGAAGGGAATGCTATCAACGAATTGATTATGGAGCTGTACGACAGATTTGAAGAAACTATACCCTGTGAGAAAATTTAAATAAACGTGTGGATACATAAAATAATAAAAGTATGAAATACAATTAAAATTTTTGTCTATTATGTCAGTTAAATATCAATTGGTAAAACAAATAATTTCATGCAGAGAATAGTTCATTGAATCTATAGATGTTGGAAAGGGATGTAAAATTATGGGATTAGCAGGCAGTTAAAACATTACGTAACATGATATGAAGTTTAATAAGACAGGATTTAAAACAATTAGTCCCCCTTATGAATTTAGATAAAGCAATAAGAAGATGTAATTTGTCTGAATCGTGTAATTTATTTGAGCGCAACACATTTCGAACAATCTGATCACACACGGACTTGTCATAGAAACATATACGAAATTAATAAAGAGGTCAGAGGTGAGAAAATAGACACTTAGGTCAAGTTAAAAGGACATATTCAAGGTCAAAATAACAATGAAGACCACTAAACCGAATAGCAGAGGTAATAGTACATCTGCTATGGTATCAAAACAAAATTTACCAAGGAAGGTTTAATGTGATGACGAATTGTTTTTGAACGCATAATAGTGGCTTGAACTTTCTAATTGCTAGGGCTTCTACAAACTTTAAGATACGCCCCAAACACGTTTTATGGATAAGTTCAAAAGATCTGTTAACATCAATTTTATGAACTGTCTCTATAATATGTTTCGCAATAGAAGAGCTAAGTCTCCTGTTGTCACCGTTGATAGGTTCTGATGATTCCATTTGTTTCTGGAGCCATTTTGGAATATGCTCTGAAGCCCTTACTTGCGGAGATCGATGAGTCCTCCCTATGTATGTGTGTCCACACGTACATTCAAACTGGTAAACACAGTGGGATGTGACGTCATTTTTCGCATGTTCGAAGGGCTTAGATAAATATAATGGCTTTACATTCTCTATTATTATGATATTAGCTGCATAGAAAGTCTTTTCATCAGCAGCGTTTAGCCTTCGTCTAGTTATCAAGCTGCTATGATGTCCCATATAGGGTAGCTTGATGTACACGTCTTTCTTAGGGGCGAGTTGGAGAGTGGGTCTTGGTGTTCTGACTACTTTATACCTCTTGATGAACTTGTCTGGATAATTGTTATCATCAGCCAGAGTTTGTGTCAACTTTCTTTCTTCTTCATCCAGTCTGTCTTCAGTGCATATTCGTCGGATTCTACTGAAGAGGCACTTTACTAAGGCTCTTTTGTACCGAACAGGGCAGAAACTGTGGTAATTAAGATACTGTCTGTCCTATCCAGGTAGGTTTTCTATAAATAGATCTTTTTATTGACCCATCAAGCCGTCAACTAAGCAATATGTCTAGGAAAGATAAACAATTATCTTCCTCTTCTACAGATGTAAGTGATATGCTATTCTGAACTTCAGTCATTCGATGTAAAATTGAGGTGGCAGAACAAGGCTTATCACTGATGACTACGATATCATCTACATACCTTCTATAAAGTGACACATTTTCGATTAAATCCCCCGATCGATTCTCAACGTACGACATATAAATATCTGCTAAAAGGGGCCTTAACAGACTGCCCATAGCAACACCATCAACTTGGCGGAAACAATCGCCTTCAAATGTAAACCTAACATTGTTAGTACATAGAACAACATGGGCAATACACGTTTATCCCTCTACTCTCTTAGTAGGAGAAATAAGAACTGCACATACTGCTTTTGTATACAAAAATCCAGCTTAAACTCATGAATGAGCAAGGGTTTCACTGTATTTAGAGGTTTGGAACGAAGAGAAGGTAGCAGGTTAGCATGAATTCGATGAATAATCTTAACGTCATAGTCGATTGAATGTTCTAGAATGCATCTTCTCACACAATTCCTCTCTCCCTTGTAAAATCATGCTGGAATATGTTTTCATATTTGTATAGAAAGCATTCTCTAGCTACGGCCAATTTAACTCGCTCCACAAGAGCACGTGAACTGCATTTGTAGTGCATGAGACTTGGAAGCTAACTTTTTACAAAGACGGAGAACAAATTACGTCTGGTGAAGATGATTTGAAGTTTTGCAGCAAATGATGTTATGCTGACTGTTTTCAGTATAAATCTACTTTTCACTAATTTTTATGCTGTTAGCTTGATTATAAGTAAGCGTAGGTGTCTAAAGAGGATGTAAATGTATTTTTTCCCATACCTTATGAGACACTGAAATCAAAGTCTACGTGATTGTACTTTAAACGTTCACAGTTAACGTTTCTAAGGCTGCCGTATCCAGCCTTTGCAGCACTTTAGCATGAAGATGAGATATAAACATCAAAAATATGGTAGCATTAAGATTACCCTTGAAACTCTTTTAAGTAAATTTTTTTCAGTTTATGTCTTTTTGTTAAAATATAGCGCTCTGGACTGTTTGTGGAAGTTATTTGTGTTCCCTGTTATTTGATTATGTTGAACATGAATGGCCGATTATAAGATACTGGTTCCTAGTAGGGAGACTCCCCGGCAATGGCTTGATATAAACAGAATTTTACTTATCTTTTCTTAGATATTGGTTTGCAGGGATTTTGATTGATATCAAGTTTAATCACGAAATGACTTTAGTTAAGGGAGAAAGGGTGGAACTGGAGGAAGTTGGAATTTATGAAACATTACATCTCGTCAAATTGGCTGGATGGTCATAGAGCTCCCCTTGTTACCTGAATGTTCTCAGTGGAGTCATGTGTGAGTATGGGTGAGGAGTTCTAGCTGTGAAGAAAACGCTGTTCAGGATTCCTTGCTGTTTTCTATGATCCTCCGACTAAAGTCGGTTCGTTAGTGGGCCTGAAATGATGTTAATTTATTGTTAGTGATTGTCAGGGGCATCCAATTCGTGCATTGATTCCTACTTCGGTCGGGACAGCCAGACAGAGAATATTGATATTGATAGCTGTTACCGATCATTTAGCTAAGTCACTATGAACAAGAATCATACTGTCATTGTGAATTAAATAGATTTATTGGCAGATAAACTAATCTCACTTGCTTATTATGCTATTTTGTATATGACCCTCCTGGGTCGGTGTGTCCCTCCCTAGTCAACCTGGACAACCAGTCCTCTGACGGGTCTTCCATATCGGCGCCATGCTTAGCGTGGACTCCCGATCAATATGAGCACTCATATGCCAGAACTCATGGTCCCGTGAAATTCCGCACCCTAGCCTCCAAGTTGTTAGGTCCCAGGCGTACGCCACCACACCCAGCTGATCATATTAAATAGAGCCTTCAAACACAAGTTTTCTGTGTGTTTAAGTTTCTGTAGCGACTAGCTTGATTTTCAAAAGAAAGAATCGTTAGCTTAAGATTCCCTCTTCTTTCAGGATTTAGACCGGCTATTGAACTAGGCAGGATGACTGGAAACACGCTAACATCCTGCGCCAGGCCGAAGAGTGAAGGAAGGAAATTGTATGCGAAGGAGTCAACCAAAGATGACTTCAAGATCCGTGTGAAATGGCGATATGGTGTTGAGGATCTTTGTTCCACCAGGAATCCAGTAAAATACTGATGATGATAATAATAATAATAAGGGACCGAATTACATTTACATAAAACTTGATAATTCAGAATAGTAAAATTTTCAAACTTACGGAAATGCTCAATAAACTTGAGAAATTTGGCGTTAAATAGTATTTTATACCAGTTAGTGAACCTTGTAGTGTTAAACCACGAACTAATAGAATTGATAAAATAACGTAAGGCAGAGTAGCAGTCACCCATACAGCCTGAATAAAAGAAAAGATACAAATTGAAATAAAAAGTGAAACTGAGAAGTCTCCAGTGATAAGCAGTTAACTAAGGCGGACGATTTACTTCAAGGATATTTCGTCCACTAATTATACTTTTTTATTCCTTTACGTTTCCAATGAAACATATGGCTTCAGACTGGAGGTTTAAAGTTTCAGTAGCACGTTTTTTTTATTTCAAACAGTATGGAGTCGGTAGCCTCATGTCCAAACGCGTCTTTTTACCAGTCTTATTATTCGCTTAACAAGGTAAAGGAGTACATTAGGCAGGGACTGCACTCGGAACCACCTGCATGGTTAGCGAACTATCTACCGCTGTGCCACCCACGCATTCATTTCATACTCATAACTAGGAATTACTTCCTCATTACTTTTGCTCGTCCAATGGTTAAGTGGAAAGCAGAAAGCTGTTTGGTATGCATAGACTACACTAAAATAAAACTGAAAATTAAATTTACAATATTTTACTGATCTTTTAGGCTTTATGACACACTGTTGAAATTTAACTTGGTTACATATATAAATATCTTTCTTGTATCGGTCAAAAGTTAGAGTCTATATGCCATTGAGGCGAGATCTAAGATGAACTTTTCGCCAATGCATTCCTAAACATCACCCAGCCGTGTAGCAGGAAAGTTTGACCATGAGGCTAGTAGCAATTTCAAAACTCTTGTGTCTCACTTGTATTGCAAGCAATGAGAAAACAAATCATAACTTGAAATTATCAGACATTTCAATAATGATGTTTAGTATTTTTCCGTCTTCATAAATTAGTTAGAAGGGAATGGAAAAGTTATATACGTGTATGTATATATATATAAAGTGTGCTAAGTCTTTATTCTACAGGTTTACATTTGAATTAATTATTCTACTAATAAATGTCTTGCTAACGCTATAACAATGATTTAGAGTTAGAACTCGTGAGATGACATTAACTAAATATGTCAACCTATGAGAGAGGTATTTATGTGAATATAAAAAGTTTCCAGGAACTGTAAGCTTGCATAGCCATCGAAATAGATAAATTCAATAGTGCAATCCTTTATATTTCTGTGGGACAGTTCAGATCGATAATCAAACAATGGTGTAATTCCATCACGTGGAAATATTAACGTTCCGTAACCAGATATGGAGGACGTATATATACATATATATAATAGAGATGTTAACGTTGTCCATTTAAATCAAATAAACAAGTGGAGATCGATTTGCTAGATTGTTTTTGGCCAGTATGTAGTGATTATACTTAGAAGCATTGAAAATAAACAATTTATTCCCAACAAAAGTGAAAGGGTTGTCGCTCTTCTTCTTTTGCCTACACAGGGAACCTTTCAATGGGTCTTGCTTCAGCAAGGTGTAACAGACTAGGCTTCTTTTGTTTGCCGGGCACTTTGAACGATTCCAAACTCCTGACATTTTGTCTGTTATCGCTCAGATGACATGTGGTTGTAGTGCTTGATACTGGTTTATCCCCTTAATCAAAGGGTCAATGGAATGCCCGCAGAAGTCTACCTTCTGTCATCCGGTGCATATGCTTCAGAACACAGGGAAAAACATCTGATGAAATTGGCCTCTAACTCCCTACCAACTTGATAAAACTATGGTCGAGTTCTAGGTAATCTTTAGATTGTTGAGGCTTTATTTTGGAAGCCTCTGAGTGGAATCCTCAAAATAGTAAGCAAATGTAGCTTTATTTCAAACCTTAGCCTATATTCGCTCTACCCGGTATATGACCTGATACGGCTGAGGGTTTTCCTCACCGAATGACCTAATTCAGCCAGGCGTTCATGGCCTCTGTCAGGCAAGTCCTATTTATTGCCTTCACACAACGTGGTCGTTCGTCACAAAAGTTAAATGGTGAATCTGAATGTCTGGTACTTACAACCATCATGTTACACATGTAAGTCCTGACTTGAAGCTTATAGTTTTCATGGGGTATAGAGTCTGAAAGGATCATAGGGCATATGAACTGTTTGAAGGTGGCCCCTGATGCCACCCCACTGCCTTGTGGGTCAGGCTTCATGTCAAAGACTCTGGTTGTAGCCGCAATAAGACAACCACTTGTTTCGGCTTAGGCAGTATTCTAGCCCTAGAAAAAACTAGACGATTTATGTGGAGCATCTCTCGGTGCCCATCATGTACCAGGTTCATGTTTTTTATAGTGTGATAATACACTGATACAAATGTAAAAGAAGTTTTTCACGATCGCTTAACTTCTTTAGAACTAATCTTTTTGACCAAAACTGCTGAGTTTTCCGTCTTTTTAGTAACAGTCAATCAAGGATGTCCATGCTTTGCAAACTTTGAAATGTAACAGCATATTCAGCGGGACTATAGGAAGAAAACAAATGCTTATTCAACTTACTTTCCCACTACTCTTTACACCTTTCCAAAGGGAAAAATACACTATCGTGAATACTACAATTAAGCAAAGGCATATCTCCCAGCGTATTGGACCAACATCATTATATCCTTTGGCGTATTGTATTTGTAAAACTCGACGACTTTCAGAAATCAAAGAGAAAAAGACATAAGAGTGACAAATTGCATAAACTGACCGATTTTTTTTAAAGAAATGTAAGGAACGATAAAATTAAATACTAGTCAAATTAAAAACTTGACTGATAGAATTCATATTGAAGTGTTGGTTTGAAGGGATTTGATTGGTTTCAGGATTTCATCATGACAAGTGCCATACAGTAGGTTGGATGTGAGGACAGATAGTCGTCACCGATGGCACTGGCTAGTGGTCATACTCTGCCATAAAATTTTCAGAATTTGAAATTCATGGGTCAGTGAATCAGGTGTTAGTGGCTGAATAATCTAAGAGCTTGAATTGTAACCAGAAGGTCCTGAGTTCGGAACCCACCTGTTTGAAGCATACTAACAAGGACTTCCAAAGTAGGGCGAAACAGCTGTCCAGTACTCCTAGGTTTTCCAATATTTGGCTAAACGACATCAGTTCATGATGTAGTATTGATAGGATTCAGCCTGCAGCAAACGAGTGACTAGACATATCACATTAGCTACCAAATAATGTTCAGTCAAAGTATCCATTATAGTCTAATAGAAGGTTATCCACCAGTCTGAATATTTCAGTGGTAACGTTTCTGATTTCAGAACTGGATGACGCGTGTTTGAATCTGTTCTTTCAAGATTGCAGATACGTCTTACTGACAACTGCTAACAACGATGAAACATAGATGTAAGGACTTCCACTGATCACCTGCAACCATCTAACAACAATTCAGAGCGAACCATGCTGGTAAGCTACCAAGCATAGTGGTCACAATAAAGACTTGAATGATTGGATTCAATCCGCATCAGACGAAGGCCTAGTCGCATGACATATCAATTACTACCTAGCGTTCAGTTAAAATTAGACTAATTTCAAGTTTGCTTTTTAAATGACTCACATGCCAAGACTTTCGTTTGTAACAAAAATAAGTAAATTGTTTATGGACACTTATGATATGATTATAAACAGGCGTTGTATCGACATTACGTGTTACGAAATTACGACTCTTAAAATCTGTTAGCTAGAAAGTGAAAGTAGTATATCTATCTTCAAGAACATAGACTAACTATAATAGTTTATCCCTCTATTTCTGTATTCCTCATAGATTATTTCAAAAGCTGGCTATTTTATTATTTTGGTTATGAAATATTGTAACGTTTAATTATTTTTGACTTCCAAAGGAAAGCAGTTATACCATATATATATATATATATATATATATATATATATATAGTTATATATATATATATATATATATATATAGTACATTGTCCTAGTTTTAACTCTTAATTCAGCTTTCATATGTATATATATATATATATATATATATATATATGTAAGTTGGTGACATCCCCCAATTCAAGAAATAGACGTAAGCTGCTATTGTAACGCAAACTAATTTGATCAATGTTCAATAGAATGGTGTACTACAATTTATATGGCAATATTAAACAACTTATGCTGAAAAAGTGCCTCTGAATTGATTTAAAAAATTTTTTTTGGAATGATATTGTTTGGCTACCATATGTTGCTTTTTCTGATCGACATTTTATCTCTAGATGGTCTGACATAATACATAATACATATACATTTAAAGTAGTGAAGCAAAACAAACTGCAGGCAAAGGAGACCTCGCCACTCTCTACCAAATAACTAGACAATTATCGGGCAAAAGTTTGACACAAATTAAGCCAGTCAAGGATGACAATGGAAATTCAATCCCCAAAGAAGTGGAGCAAATAAAACACTCGGCTGAACACTTCAAAAGACTTCTAAATCCACCGCCACCTACAACGCACCCAACAATAGCAACAACGGAAGCAGAACTACCAGTGAAAATCAACTCCCTGACAAAATCGGAAATCCTGAAGGCAATCAAGTTGCTAAAACTGGAAAAGCAGCAGGATTAGACGGAATCCATCAAAAGCATTTAAAATGGACCCAGAAACAACAGCGGACTTGATGACGCCACTACTGAGGAAGGTGTGAAAGAAGGCGGGCTACCCGAAGATTGGAAGAAATGATACTTGTTCAAACCATCAAAGAAAGGAGACTCAAGTCAATGCAAAAACTGGCGTGGAATTATGCTTCTGTCCATTCCAAGCAAGATACTAAGTCGCATCATCCTGGAGAGAATCAAACAAGCCCTAGATGAAAAACTTCGTCCGGAACAGGCCGGATTCAGGAGAAACAAATCATGTATTGATCAAATCGCCACTCTACGGATCATCATTGAACAAAGCTTGGAATGGCAGTCACCTCTCTATCTCAACTTCATCGACTTTGAAAAGGCCTTCGACAGCGTCGATCGAGAGGTCATTTGGAAACTACTTCGCTACTACGGGGTCCCATCGACAATTATACACCTCATCCAACAGTTATACGACAATGCTGCATGCCAAGTAATCCACAACGGGAAAGTTATGGAAGTCTTCGAAGTGAGGGCGGGAGTGAGGCAAGGCTGTCTACTTTCGCCAATGATCTTCCTCATTTCAGTAAATCGGATAATGCGACAGAAAACGGGCTGGGCAATGAGGAAACAGGCATAAAATGGACTCACACAAAAAGAGACTTGGAGGATCTGGACTTCGCCGATGCGATATATATGTCTGATTTCCCACAAACTGGAAGATATGCAAGTGAAAAGCAACAAGCTGGCAGAACAAGCATCCAGGGAAGACAGGACTTTAGGCGAACATAGATAAAACAGAGGTGATGAAGATTCCTGACCAACACCAACAGCAACAACAACAACTGACAACAATTAGCCAGCATAAATGGGAGGAACCTGAAAGAAACAACCTCCTTCACACCTACCCACCTACCGACCTGGGAAGCATCGTTTCAAACACAGGCGGACGGAACTGACGAGGATATCAAAGCCAGAATCGGAAAAGCAAGGCAAGCTTTCATTACTCTTAAGTCTGTGTGGAGGTCAACAGCACTTAGCATGAAAATGAAAATAAGATCCGGATTTTCAACTCCAATGTGAAGTCACTCAGTGCTACCTACTGTACGGATCAGAGACTTGGCCAGCGCGTCATGAAGAGCATCTCAAACAAACTTCAGACCTTCATTAACAGTTAGCTGTCTTCGTTCAATACCACTCAAGATCAGATGGCCGGCCAGAAACGATCAGTAACAGGGATCTCTGGCGATGAGCGATCCAACCCAGTAGGAAGCGGTTGTGAAACAAATAGGCAGGAAGAAATGGAGATGGATTGGCTGGCCACACTTTGAGGAAACCATCAAGTGGCATCACTAGACAAGCCATCACTCGAGTGGAACCCGAGTGAATGGGAAGCGGCGAGTTGGTCGTCAGTGCAAGGGTGGGGTGACTTGGATGAGGTCATGTGAAGAGGAGATGAGAACATGTGGGCACACTTGGATCGGAGTGAAAAAGTTGGTAGAAAACAGAAGGCAATGGAGACTTGCGACTGAAGCCCTATGTTCCTCTAGGAATTAAAGGATATAATAATAATAATAATAATAAAGTAGTTCATGAGCGTTACCATAAATTTTCTCCATATGATCTGTCGTAATCTTTATTAACTTAATTGATGTGCAAGAAGCTAAGTCTTTTATACCATACTATGTCGAAGGACTTGTTCACACAATATCTGCCACCTATGACAAATTAAACCTCAGTCCGTAATAATTTCTTTATTAAATGGACATGTAGTAATACGATAAATTAATGTTTACGAACAGATTATGGCTGCAGAAGCAAAATTTATACAAAATGAACGTAGATTATATGCCTGCTTAATTAAATCTTTGATAGCCATAATTCCGTTGTCCCTGAAATTAGTAAATTTGCTATGAGATATTGTATCTAATATTGGATGTAAATCAGTTTTCACACAAGATGTTCATCATGTGTCCTTCTTGAATATCATTCATATGAAACCATAAGTAAAGTCAATATTTTCCCCTATCTGGGAAGATCCCATTCATGTGCATGGGTTTTATTCATAAAATATACAAGTGTCCAATAGTAAATTTAAGGACTCAATCACACTGTATTATCTCAATGAATGATAGATTGGATTTGGCGACAGATCGTAGGGAGTGAGGAGACTGCGATATTGGGAATCGATAAGACGACTATAAAATGACTGAAATCCACGTACAACTTATGCCTAATGTCCTACAAACCTGAAGAAGCAGCAAACACAAGATATAAAGAACTTAAAGAAGATAGACATGATGAAGACACCGAACTAAGAATAAAACGCCCCAGTCATCATAAAGGGATGAAATTAGAAGGAGACTATTTCCTCCTCCTTTCAAGGTTGAATCATTTCAACTACACACTGCATGGACGAGGGTCTCAAAGGCAGTTAAGTCACAAAAGACATAAAGGATCTTTATTAATCAGAAAACAGAGTGGAAATCTGCTACACTAACGTCAAGCCAATTCTTCTGTGTGGTTCAGAAACTGAGAGTACATTTCAGGACGACAATTTCAGAAAGGCTGTATACCTTTATCTGCAGCTTCTGATTTCGATCCATACTGAAGAACAGATGGCCAGAAAGGATTAGCAACAAAGAATTCTGTCAGCAAAGCTACAATAAACCTGTCGCCCAACCAGTATTCGAACGACATGGGGATGGATCAGATACACTCTGAGAAGACCGGTGAATGATATCCCGTACAGGTAGAAATGACCTTCTATGGGCTACGACCAGAAGAATAAAATAGGAATGTGCTACTGAATCTAATGTGCATGTGCCACAACTTATTCCATTGTATCACCACAAGAGAAATCGTTCTTTGATTTCCCCTAACTCTATCAAACAATAAGCACTGGATATTTGTGTGAGATTTCATCTATATTCCATTAATTCAAGAGAAAACACAATGGAATCTTGAAGCTTACTAGAAATATTCTTCTGTAGACGAGTAAACATCACCACTTTGATTGCTGTGTTTCATACTTGTTGATAAATTAACCAGTTCATTCAATTCATACTTGTGTGAGGTATTCAACACAGCATTATCTATAAGTCTGTCGTAGACAGTTACGCATGAATTTGTATTCCACCAATTGTTGCATCCATCCCATGGTAAATGTGGTTTCATCGCATCGATCATGTAGAATAGAGCCCAAGCAATAATTGTATTGTAATACCATGCTGTATAACTTGCAATTATACATATTCCAAAACCGATACCTAAGTGAAATATATAATAAGAAAGAAATTACCATCTTAGAAAAAAGGGTTAATTTTGCAAATAAAACTTCGAATATTTCCTTTATCCTCTAAACTGGAAGTGTTCAACAATTATCGATTGTGATTGAAACTAATGACTGTCAGGTGTTTTTGAGATAGAAAACACTTCTGTTATTCGACTTCATAAGTATCTAGTTGTATTATGTTAACTTAAAGTAACAACCCCTATTTCAGAAGAAAGCGACAATGTTGGTTGTTTGATTCAATCCACTTTTTGTAGCATTACAATTCAACTAAAATCCTTGAAAATTCCATAAAGTAAAATGTTTAAGACGGTAATTTATTCTGCTTTTCACTGATTATTGCTGCTCTTCTATAAACCTGTTCTTAACGGCATCTAGAAGCTCCCTTTAAAGATATGGTACATTCGAGTGTGCGTAAACTTCGACCTTCCTCTAAAAAACACCTTCGTGTTCATAGATTCTGGTAACTTAATCCTACTCATTGTCATAAAGTGGCTGGATTTTTTCTCACTAAAGTAAAAAAGGATGAATCTGGACATCTGGCGCTTGCAACCAGACTGACTGGTTGACATGTAAGTCTATCTAGGAAAGTCCTAATAAATAAAAATATGCATATATATACTGCCTGTATTTGTGACAGCGGTTGTGTAGATCGCGGTGACAGTTGTAGACAGGCTACATAGATGGTAGTGCATCTACGACTGATGTGTTTTGTGTCTGACACATCGGTAACCATGGTCACTGACAGATGATTTGCTTAGTATGTATGTAAGCTGCTACCTTGACGTGGTGGTCGGGCTTGAACACCTCAATGACCTAATCAAGCTATACTGGCTGAGACTTATGTCTCTTGAGGTTCTATCATGCCAGAAAGGTTGTTTGGATAGCGGTTAAACAAAAAGCAGCTACCCCATTCAATACCATGATTCAATCAAATTCACAAAATTTCATGCCGGATCGGCCGTGGCCCGGATTAACAACGACCGCGCTTCCTGCTGCCGTTTCACAGAGCAGGAGTGATAAGTATGCTACTGAAGCACACCAAACAAAAGAGAACAAACAAAAACAGGCCACGTGTGACCGGCCTCAAGCAGTTGTCCCCTGGGCTCTGCGGTCACGCAACCAACTTCCACGGTGTGGGCATCCAGGAAGTAACAAACGCCCTAAAAATCCGAAATATATATATACATGCCGTCAGAAGTTTGATTTCATGCACCATTGGGTCGAATCTCAGTGGCTTAATAGTCTCCCAGCTCGCCGCATAACCAAACGGCCGTAGGTTTGAACACTGGTGGCTGCGTATTGTTGAAGAATCCCGAACTAGGAACAGACAGATTCCTGGCTTTCCAGTGGTTCTCTAATAGATGTCAGCTTATCATCAATCCTCTACAACTAAAATACTTCCATACTGCTTTATCTTTAAAATAGACATGTGCTGCGAAGTCGTAATAAGGTGGAAAGTTGAACTAAATAGCAGACAAGATGAGGCTATTTATAAAAAAGCGTGGTTCTTAATTTTTCTTAATAGTGTGTGTCGGTTATGGTGCGAATTCACTAATGTCACTGTCTGTATTTTTGAATTTCGCTGAAGCCAAATTGGCAAGAAATACTTGGTTTAAAATGATTTTTAATTAATTCGACTTATAGAAATTAAAAATTTTGTAACAAAAAAGACTTTTGTTTCATTAATTCAAATAGAATTTTCGTCAATGATTGAAAAAAGTGTAGCTCTATATAATATAAGCGTTATATGATGAATGATGATTTAATGTGTCTAGCTTCTTAAATACGATTTGAAATTCAGGCAAACTTTGAAGATCGTAGTTACTAAAACACTGTAAAGTAAGGCTAAATATATAACAAATTATAACATAACAATACTGATTAAAAATGACAACATAACAGAACTAAGAATCAATACGACATATAATGATTTGTAATTCCGTGAAGTAATACAAATAAAGATCCAGTCAGTCAGATTAGTTAAATTCTTTTGGTTACACCGCCAAAATTTTGAAAGAATTCTGTAGTTAGGATTTTATTATTCATATGATTTCAGAAGATTTAGAATTATCAGTTCTAATTTGCGGTTTTAATAGCGGTTTAGTGGTAGGATACTCATCAATTTCTCACGTTGTCCGGGCTCGGTTCCCATATGGGGTGTACTTTGTGCTCCGGTAGCATAGCAGTTAGGACACTCGCCGACCATGCACATGGTCCAGGGTTCGATCCCCGGCCACAGACGCACTCCTTTACCTCGATAAGCCAGAAATAATGCTGGTAAAGAGGAATGGTTGGGCGTGAGGCTAGCAAATTCATCCTGTAAAAAATAAACACTGCTACCGAAAATTCAAGCCACTAGTTTGAAGCCCTAGGTTCCACTGGAGAACGTGAAGGACGTGTACTTTAAACTTCACTTAGTTTACTAGCCGATAGGTTTGGTGTCAGGATAGCAACCCAACCTCATAAACCTTGAAGTTCGAAGCTCTATGTTCCACTGGGAACACAACAGAATAAAGAAATCTGATATTTGAACATAAGGATGGAGATAGTAGAAACTGTAAACTGGGCCAACTTCTACCTCGTGTAAATTTTAATCGTGCCCGTCAGTTTATGTGTTCATTTCAGCGCACATACATTGAAAATAAGAGTGATATGGGTTATTGTCTACATTTCTGAAGACAAACCAACAAATCAGAGATTGGTTAAAAACCAATACTTAACTGAGAGATTAAACGGCTCATAGGCATTAAGCAGCTCGATTGTGCTGCGTTTAGTTGGTACTGGTCATATTGTGTACACTTTGACTGATGTCTAGATATCCTTGGAAAAATATCCACGTAACTGCACCAAGAAGTATTTGTTTCAAGCCGACCTACCAAATCAAAGGCTTGCAAAGAAAGCACAAAAAGAAAAACACCCCTCCATATATGGAAGACATACGGGAAATCGCTGCGAGTCTCTTCAAACCTTTAGGAATTGACATCGCACACAAACCAACGATATCAGGTCACTCAGTTTCATGTCAACCATGACGTGACGTCAGATAGGTTCCCACTGGAGACCATGAAGTATTGAACGGCTATTTCATTCTAAATTGCAACTCCATAATACTACGCATTGATGCGTTCACCAGGATTAGAATCCAGGATCTTTAGGTTACTAAACAAACCTATTGGCCATTCACTAAATGAAAAAGAATCTTACCAACCATTAGTTATATATTTTGTTGATTGGGTTTAATATAGTGCCACAAGCAGTTGACGTCATCGGTGTGTATTTGACCTCATAGCCCACTTGATAAACTCCTCTTGTCATGACTTCTCAATTCTTATGATCAGTCGCTTATGAGCGTTGGATTAATTCTCAAGTGATAGTGTGCAGAGATTTGATTTAGCCACCGGAAGTTATCTCAATGGGTGAATCACCAACAGGCTGTCTCCTTAGCCCGAGGGTTCCAGATGGAGACAAGGGTGAGTACTACAGGTAAATCCCAAACTAAGATAAGATGGCTAGCTATACAGTTGTCCCCAAAGCGAAGTTGTATCTTGATCTAATATTGAAAGCAGACAAATACCTGCAAAACAACGCTTGAAAATGGATCAATAAAGTGAGCATTTTCTGTTTCCTGATTTATCAGTCACATTGTTTATTCATTAATTTATGATGAAAAATGCGGGGTTTTGAATTGAACAAGACTGAAAAGATACACAAATAGTGTACGCAGATATTTCATTGCTACCATGAGGAATACAATTTTACCATGATACATATTCTTTATTCGAAATAGCCATTAAAAAAATATACTTTTTTGAACTAATAAAAAATGCATCCATAAAGCTGAATTGATTCCCTGTAGATTTAATTGCTTATCATGATTTTATATTCACTCTCTCTGGAAAATCAAAACAATGTTTGCATATTCTAGTCAGCAGTCTACTTCACAATGCTCGATAAAGAGTAAATTTCAATGTGAAATTCTATTTACAGTAGTACTGAAATCTAACTTAGTTAAGTCTATCTAGGGTATCCTCAGCTATTTCAATCTACAGACTTCCTTAAGATGAGCATATAAAGTACCTGCAAGTAATTTGTTGATTTCGTATATCTAAAAACCAATAAATTTAGTGAACTGATAGTGAATCGATTAAGTTACCCAGTGGAAGCTTCAGTAGATGTGATTGGTAGAAAACTCTCATCAGAAAGCTCACCGAAAGGTGTAAAGTGAAGACAAGATTAAGGCAGAGTTGTCTACTATAACTGATGATGTTCGTAGGGAGTGGACCGAATCATACAACTGACAGAGGCGTACCGAGACCACAGAGGTATATTGGACCGCCCGAAAGCATTTAGCAGAACTTAAAATCGAGGACTGTTCATAAATGATGTCATATGGACCCAAAGATTTACAGACGAAAATCAACAAGTCATTAGAAGAAGCAAGTAGCGAAGACAGGAGTTTTCGTAAAGATAGAAGAGACAGAGGTGTTCAAGATAATGACTAACAAAAACCAGCACTTTTCAACTAGCACATAAAATGTGATGGAATTCACAGCCAAGTCGGGTGCGGATATTGGAAAAACGAGAATGGCCTTCGTTATACTGTGTTGCAGAAGTCTGCTGCAATCAGCATAAGCGAATAGATCTGGATTTTCAGCACCAGTGTCAAAATTACTGCCTATTTGAGGTGCAGACATTCAGCCATTGTGCCATAAAAAGTATTGCTTATAAGATACAACCTTTTATCATTAGGTGGCTTCTTCTGATACGGAAGATCAGATGGCCGGCCAGAAAGCATTAGCAGAATGGAACTCTGAAAGTGGACCACCAAAAAGCCTATTACCCAACAAATATACAGAATGAGATGGAGTTGGATTATGCTTAAGCTGAGAAGACATTCAGGTGATATCACACATCACACTCTTCAGCGAAACCTGAATAGGAGTGAGTGTGCAGGGGTGACATGGAGGAGATCATATGAAGGGAAAAAGTAGTTTATGGACTGTCGTGAATCTGAATAGAAAGTGTTGTATAGATTAGCATAGAATAGTGATATGCTACTGAAGCCTCATGTTTCGCTTAAAACCCAAGGGAACAATAATAGTATGATCAAAAACTATTGACCAGAAATGTGAACTGCATTCAAACTCAAAATACTGTCATGCTTTTTTGAAATTTTACCTTATGAATTCAACAAATTACTGCATCTTCATTCAAGAGAATGAAAGAGTTGGATACGGGATAATATTTTTCTAATGCTGATCTCCGATTTCCGATTACTTAATATTTTATCTGTCAAGTGAATGAAAGATTACCAAATTTCACTGAGATTCTAGACGAAGATGCAGTTTCCTTGTCAACATTAAGTCAAGTAGTTTGTACACTTCTGATTTCTGAAAAAACAAATTTCGTGATTCTAGTGATTAGTGAGGATTTTAAAAGGTTAGAGAGTTGAACCAATGGTCTTCAGGTCAATGGAATTCTCATCTGAAATTCAAGTCGAACCTTCTGCTCTTATATCTTCTGTTTACTATATAGATTAGTGTTGGGTAAATATCATCCCTGCTTATCTGCTGTACGCAGAAAAGAAAACCTAACGTATTATTTTGTTTTTGTGTTTTTCCTTCATGTTCCCCAGTGGAACATAGGGCCTCAAGCTAGTGGTTTGAAGATTCTGTAGCAGTGTTTGATTGTACAGGATGGAGTTGCTAGCCTCCTGCCCAACCTTTCCTCTTTACCAGCATTATATCTGGCTTAGCGAGGTAAAGGAGTGCGTCTGTGGCCGGGGATCGAACTCTGGACCATGTGCATGGTTGGCGAGCATCCTAACCACCTTGCCACCTGACGTACTAAAGCGTTGCAAAATTTTTTTTCAGCGGAAAATGATTACAGATTTATGCAATCTTGTTATCTGTGATGCAATAAAAACTTGAGTACGCTAGTTTGTGTGTTGGTGGCATATATACAGAATGTTTGCCAACCACGCATGAGGTCAAGTGTTCGATCCTTAGCCGACGTACTTCTTTGGCTCATTAAAGCAGTAATAAGACTGGCAAAGACGGACGGTTGAACATGAGGCTAGCATTCACATCTCATAAAAATTTACACTACTGCTGACGAAACTTCAAGCCTCTAGTTTGATTCTATTGTGCACTGTATCGATTTCAGGTATAAGGAATATTTTAATGAAGTTTATCAAGGGATATTTTATTGTCGCAAAAGGCATGCACCAAAAAACTACTATGTATTGACGACTTGATGAAGTTCTTTTTCGTGAGAAATATATAACCGTATAAGAGAAATAACAGCTATTGGTGGAGTAGCGTGAAATAGTTGACGCTTAGTAGAATAACAGGCAAAACGACTTAAGATATTCAACATTTCGATTGGAGGCAAGACAATTACTAGCTCAATTCTCGAGCATTTGGTGAACTCAGGCCACATAGCTCCACCAGAGTCGTCTTTCAACATCATCTACAAAGTGAAGCCAAATTGTACAAAGGGCGTCAGGTTCCGGCTTTTGTGTATGGCGGAGGCGCTGGCAATACATCAATACAACCCTGATCTCTGTATACAGAAAAAGTTTGTCCGGTCTCTTATTCTACCTTGGTCTTAATATTCAACATTTATTTACGAGATACATCCGACCTCATCAACAGATTCTGTTTTTAAGTTGAAACAATATTTAAGCTCAAACACGTAACACAAATGGACACGACAAAATAACTTTTGAAACATTTCTGGAATTTATACCATTGACCAGGTGACTAAAAGTTCTATAAATAACTATCGACACTGCTTTGTTTTCATATAACTATGTTATGTCAGAGGCCTTGCTATGCTTCGTGGTACTCTGTAAGATTGAAAAAAAACCTTATAGATGGATACATCAGGGCGGAATAGATGACTGATATTCGATTGCCTCTATAGTCTAAACGTAGCTATCATTGCCTGACAATTGGCTAACAATCTTTCGTTTATATGAACTCTTTATGAAAACGTCGAGTGAACATGCAGAAAACGGAGTTGGTGAAGATAACCAACAATAAAATCACTTACAATCACCACTTATTATCGACGGGAGAAATTTGAAAGATCGACTCCCTCGCCTATATAGGCAGCTTCGTTTCAACTGCAAGCCTGAGGCATGGATGAAAATGACAAAACCAGGATCCAGAAGGTAGAGCCGACCTTTATTATTCTAAAATCAGTCTGGAAATCTTATACAGAGACTCAGCATAAGGAACACGATTCCGATTTTCAAGTCAAATGTGAAGTCAGTCGCTTCTTTTATATACGTCAGAAACCTAGCGCTTGCATCACCAAAAGCGTTTCAAACAGGCTATTGAGGACTTTTATCAACAGCTGCCTACTCTGGGTCAAAATTGAAAATCTAATGGCCAGCCGGATAAGATCAGAAACAAGAAACTCTGTGAACGAACTAACTGAGAACCTTTAGCCACACAGATAATCCGAAGGAAATGGAGATGGATAGGGCACATGTTGAGGACATTGTTGAATGACATCGCATTCCAGGCCATTGCTTGGGTGGGAACCGAGCAGGGAACGACTAGTCGGCGTCTGAGAGTAACACAGATATGATCGTGTGAGGAGAAGATAACAGCCTACTGACAATTGTGTGGCCGACTGCAGAAGACTGTAAAGAGCATACAAAAAGGCCACTGAAGCCCTCTGTTCCACTTGGAACCCAAAGGAATAATGATAGTTACTGAAAACAAATGTCAACTCATACATTTTGAAGTAAAATGCAAGTGCCGGTCAGTAGAAAGTCACTTGTAGTGGAGTTCAGTGCTCGCTTCGTTCCGTTTGGAACTCGTCAACTAGATGTACATGAAATCTTCAGTGTAGAACAGCATCACTCACTGTGAATGCAGGCTCATCTGATTAGCGAGTCCCAAATATTACAAACTGCCAATGAATAGAGACTTAAGTCAATTGAGGAACTGGTGAGACATTATGCTTCTGTCCATTTCAAGCAAACTACTAAGCCGCATCATCCTGGAGAGAATCAAACAAGCCCTGGATAGAAAACTTCGACCGAAACAGGCTAGATTCAGGAGAAACAAGTCATGCATTGATCAAATTGCAACAGTGCAAATCATCAGTGGACAGAGCTTGGAATGGCAGTCATCTCCCTACCTCACTCAACTTCATCGACTTTGAAAAGGCCTTTGACAGCGTCGATCGAGAGGTCATTTGGCAACTACTTCGCTACTACAAGGTGCCGCCGACAACTATACATCTCATCCAACAGTTATATGACAATGCTGCATGTTAAGCAATCCACAACGGGAAACTCACGGAATCCTTCGAAGTAAAGACGGGAAGAAGACAAGGCTGGTTGACTACCTGCTATCTCCAAGTCTGTGTGGAGGTCGACAGCAATCAGCATAAAAAATAAGATCCGGATTTTCAACTCCAATGTAAAGTCAGTGCTACTATACGGTTCAGAGACTTGGCGCGTCATAAATAGCATCTCAAACAAACTACAGAACTTCATCAACAGGTGTCTTCGCTCAGTAGTTCGCTCAAGATCAGATGGCCGGCCAGAGAAGATCAGCAGCTGGGATCTCTGGGAGCGCACCAACCAGAAACCGATTGTGCAACACATATGCAGGAAGAAATGAGGTAGGTGGATTGGTCGTACTCTGAGCGAACCATCAAGTGGCATCATAAGCTAGTCCATCTGTCAAGTGGAACCCGAAAAGGAAGTGCCGAGTTGGTGGTCCAGTGGTAACTTGGAGGAGGTCATGTAGAAGAGGTGGTGAGAGCATGTGTGGAGACGTGGAGCCAGGTGAAAAGGTTGTCAGAGAACTGAACGAATTGGAGACATGCAGCTGAAGCCCTATGCTCCTCTAGGGATTAAGAAAGTATTAATAACAATAAATATTACAAAATGCGTATTTTGAATTTCACTGCTAGTCTCCATCCACCAACAGAACAACATATTAACTCTCGAGCATGGTCAGAGCGTCCTTACAAATAACTGACATGTCAATAGAGCACAAACATGTTTTTCATTCAGTCAGTGTGAAAAGCAAAACTGGCACAGATAAAATATGAATGATTCACTTACCGCTGAATAAAGGGCATATTCTTTTCCAAACAGTTAAGCACCCACTACGTTGAAATTGTCCTAGTGCCAGCTCCAGATAAAAGAGTGGCAATCCACCAAAAATATACATAACCAAATAAGGAATAAGAAATGCACCTGAAATGAAAAGAGATCAAATTAAGCAATCGTCTGACTTTAATTTTCATTAGGTTTCATATAAACACCATCTGATTTACAAACAATAACTCCGAACTCTTAACTTCCTGCCAGTAATCTGGACAGAGGTACAGGGTAAACATTCGACAGATAGTGAGCTACTGATCAACTGTCAAGTGTTGGTTTAACAAGGACTCAATTGGTCACAATGTTGTTCACACGACTAGCCCTGTACAGGAAGTACCTCGGATTATAGTGTGAAGTCGTATCCACTGGGGTCTAGTTAGTTAGAGAAGCAGACAGTTACTCGCCCGTGACACTAACTGATGGTTGCGAAACGGCAGGAGCTAGAATTTGTGGACCGTTGGATCAAGCCCCAGTGGCTTATTGGTTTACGAATACGCCTTTGAACCGGAAGGTTCAGGGTTGGATCCACTTTGGGTGCGTACTGTGAAGAGTCGCGAAAACTAGGACGAAACAGCTGTCCAGTACTTCCTCGTTAGTTTTCCAATGATTCTCTAAACGGTGTCGGTTAGCGATCAATCCTGCGGTATATGTACGGCTTATACGGCTAGCAATCCTATCCCATTAAAATAAAGATTACTTCTATCGACACTTCAAAGAGCTGCTAGCTTGAAGGCCTATATTCTACTGGGAAAGTCTAGGAATAAAAAAATGTATGGAGACATAATTCGTCGTAAGCGTTCCTTTTAATTGACCTGAAGTGATGTAGATTAAATCAATGGGCTACCTATAATGCATGAATTCTTCGCCATATTTTATTGTTTTGATCATCTAACTATGTCAGTGAATTGCTACATGAGCTTGAACACAGTTTTAGTCTGCCTAAATGCAGAGGACTCCTCAACAGAAATGAGGAGAGAATATTGAAGAGATTTAGATATTGCTTCAGATGGAACAACGGGGAGTTAAACGATGTGTTGTCCAAAACCATTTTGCTTAAGGATCCTGTACGAACAGTAGACATTTTGCAATTAAAATACATTGAAAATTTTGTACTGTGTTGACATACTGTCTAGAACAAAGCAGTTATTATTGTTATAAAAAATAATTGGTAACAAAACCTTCAGAAGTTAAAAATACAACTTCCAACATTAGTTTGCAGTTACCTAAGGATGAATAGGATGCGCATTTAGAGCACCCAATAAGTCGTGTAAATCTAAATAAAGATAAAATGTAATTCATGTCTGACACTGAAATAACTCTCAGAACTCGACTGATCCATAAGCCTACCCAGTCTTTACCTTCTTCACTGGTCTAGAGTATGCTGGATAGGAGATGTGAGTGTTTTCCACTTAGAAGTCACCAAATGGTGTTAGAAGCTATCATAAAGATTTTCTGCGTGAGCAATTACATTGGAAGGACAGAAAGAAGGGCATATCTACGATTTTCTGAACATGTACCAAAAAGCTTACGTCTAAAAGGAACAAATGCTTTAAACAGTGCCATCGCCAGGCATCTCCTCGACACGGGTCATGAGGTGGATGTCGAAAAGTCGTTCAAAATTGTCATTAGGCAAAAGAGCTCAATTCTCTTTAAGTTTGCTGAAGCCATTTCCATCAAGCGCCTGAAACCTGATTTATGCATCCAGAAAGAAGCGGTTATCAGTCTTTCTTTGCCCTATCTGGTAACTGGATAATTTCACCTCTCTTTCTTCCGAATGCGAAATGCTAAAAGTTTCCATTGTGTATGATTATTATTGTTCGGAATAGTGTTTAATATTGCATATTTATATATGTATATATTTTTAGTGTATGCGTATATTGATCGATTGATTTCTGTTTAAAATGAAGTCTGTTCAAGTATGTCAAAATTGTTGTTGTAGATATATTTAATAATGTCTTTGCCATGTAAGCAGCTGACGAGAAGGCAACGAAACAAAAGATGCTTTCTTCAAATTAAAGATTTTCTGTAAGGAATTGTGTAATATTGCTTTGGATAGATTTCGATAGCTAACGTAAAACAATCGAATATTGTAGGAATGAATATATTACTACATGTTAGAAGGCTTCGTGGAAAGACTCCTCACATCTGATATACTATTTCGGACACAGTTAACCGAAATAACGCCTCCAGTGGACATTTATTTCGTTTTTTTCATTCTTCTGCCTTTCGAATAAAAGTTGTGAAGTTTCAGTCGCTTTAAAGATGTTTTTAACAGAGTGGGACTGCTATATTCATGTCCAATTCTACATCTATTTCTAGCTTACACCTGGCTCGGAGAGGTTTGAAAGTCCAATGACTTGAAGTCAAAACAAAACTTCCCGCGTGACTGAAGAGTATTCACCTCCTGAACCAACGATCCACTTTTCTCATGGTTAGTATCTTTGAGCCTCTCAAAGTTTATTGGGCTCTGTATCCAACATTATTGTGGAAAAGAAAGGCAATACATAGTTGGAAATTCGTATCTTTCAGTAGTTCTTCACTCACTATGACATTATCTGAATGGTGCATTTTGCACGAACGATTCTGTGAAAATCTTCTGTCGTACATGAAGCAAAGCTTTGTAGTTGTTTACTAACATAACGAAGAGACAATATGACTTGATAACTCGGTAATTGCCAGTCATAGAATGTCTAATTCACTGCAAACGCCTAAGTACTCTTTATGTTTGTAATTTCTGATTACATTATGGAGATATACTTACTGTAAAGTATAGGCAGTTTTCTGTGACATGGTGAAATACTGGAAACATGGAGATAGACAAAATACGTGATTTCAGGGTAATACAAGATGTAAATGAAAATTGCAATTTGAACACCAAGTTAAAAGTTGCGATATTTCGACAGAGAATTCAATTTCCAGTCGTGTTTTCATTGTCTCATGTAGAGCATACTGAAAAAGTACTGAGTTATGTGAAGAATTGTCTATTCTTTAATTTATCACCTAACACACTAAGAGTTAGATATTATAGAGAAGATTTGTAGCTCAGGTGGATGATTTTGATGTGGTTTTGTTCTCTGAGCTGGATGGTTAGTTTGCGAAGGTGATGAAAGCTTCGCAAACTAACCATCCAGCTCAGAGAACAAAACCACATCAAAAACACTAAGAGTTGGTAAACACTTGGCGCCAGATTATTTCTTTCTTATGATTGAAGTAAATGAAGAATAACAGAAGATCTAAAATGTATCACTGATGTCACACTATAATCACTTAAGTTATACTTCTTAGAATTATTAGAAGCAAAAGTTAACGGTCGCCCTTATTCCTGGGGGATTCAGTTACATAAGGACGCGGAGATGCTCACGAGCTAACTAAGCAGTCACAACTAACTCCCTGTTGACAAAAGCTACTAGTTTCTTTTATCAATTTTCATGTAATTGATTAATTCAAACAATTGTGTAGTATCGGGGGACTAGTAATGTTTGCTAATACCACCTGTCCCCCCGAAAAATACAGAAATGCAATCAATGTGAGTAAAATAATTTGCTTTTTACCGAAAAGTACACATAATTAGATCTTCGCCTCGATAATAAATAATCAACTAAACATGTATTATTTGACTGCTTAAAATATCAGCATGTAAGATAAGGTAAATAAGTGAACAACATTTTTCCATTCATCTGCTATCTTTGTAGTTTATTCAAAATGACCAGATGCATATCAATGTCTGTGTTGACTAAGAATTTCGCCGACTCAATCTAGGGTGAATATTCTAGCTCAGGATTCCACTGAAGTCAAAACAGATCAGTCGAATACAGGATTTTCATCATGAGCTGACATTAGCTAGAGAAGTGTTGGAAAACTTGAGAGTACTGAAGATTTGTTTCGCCCCAGTGTGCGAGTCTTCATCAGCACACACTCAATGTAACCGGAGTTCGAACCCAGGACCTTCGGGTTGTAGGGTCAGTGAGCTTGTAGATAATTAAGTTGATGGGACCCGACCTATTGGCCTATGAATTCCAATTTCTACTTTTTTTAAGATATAGCGTGACCAATAGCTAGTATTATTGACGAGTATTTGTCCTCACTGTCAAACTGCTGTACTCACTCGTCATGTACCAAAATAGAACGAAAAGCTCTCTCTAGTACTCCTAAGTATTCCAGTAGTCCCATAACCCATTTCAGCTCATGATGAAAATCCTATGACCATTGAAATCCCTTCAGACCAACATTTATAGATCAGTTGAATGGTGACTAGCAGTTGAATCCAGGATAAGTATTTCACCTAAAGTGTGACTTATCAGCTAGACGAACCTGCAATCAAGCCTGGTTGCCATCATTTCAAATGCGAAAGAGCTATCTACTAGCTCTCTTGGATCAAGATAACCACTATTTGTATTCTGTGTATCTGTTATTATTTCTTTAAATTAATTTTGTTCTTCCTGTTTATTGATTATATTGGGCCCAAACGTTCTATCTAAAATAAAATATCAGTTCTTAGCTCGTATTAATCCTCGTGCATTATCGAAGCGTCTATATTGGAAGACGACATGTTAGGAAGACTGGATATTCGGGGCTAAGACAGTCTATGGGGAACACAAAATCAACTGAAACACATAGTAACAGACTAAGTGAAGCCTAAAAAATCTGAATTCTTAAATCATAAAACATGAAAGTCTTAACAAGCCACTGAAAGTCAAACAAGAAAGCTTTCGCTGCTCACATTTATCTGATATCGTCATTTTCACTGCAGATAATCTTTCAGCCTACTGAATACAATCCAGTTGACATAAACTACTTGTTTATACACTACTATTTTGTTGTGATCAAATAAAACGATGCAGTTGGAGAAACACTATCCGAAATCTTAATTACGATGCACAAAACAGTAAACACAGGAGTCAGACAAGGTTGCTTATTATCACCAATGATATTCCTAATTGTGGTGGACTAAATTATGCGTCAGATAGTGAGTGGGAAACGAGAAGACAGGAATATCCTGGACCGCCGACATGAAGAACCTAGAAGACCTGGATTTTGCGCGTGGATGATTTATGCTTGATGTCACACAAAATCAAAAACTTACGAGCGAAAAC